TCACTATCCCTCCCCTTTTTTGTCCCTCGGTGGAAATGTTCACCTCCCCCTCTCAAATTGTCCCTTCTGTCTTTATTCCTCCACCTGAGAGAGCTCTTTCTCTTTTGTCACCTGAGTGGCTGTGCTACTGGTTTGGTGTACATGCGACACACCTATTCTACTGGGGACAGAGAGGGAGGGAGGATGTCAGGAGGGGTGACATCATCCATTTCCACTCTCATAACATTTAGGTAGTTTTGCAATAGCTATTAGTTTTAATTCTAAATAAAGACATTTTATTATGAAATTAAGAGGAATTTGGCATGGGAGCCACTTAAGGGTTACCTTTAATGTGGTAAGATGCTCTCAAAGCTTGATCCTTTACACGTAAACATTGTGATGCACATTGGAGGAGAAGCTTTTCTAATGTTTTGAGAAGCAGTGAGATGAAATGTTGGCTAGAATTACAAAACCAGTTTCACACAAGCAGCAACACTAAGGAGAAAAACCGGTTTAAAACATGCAAACACATTTCCACTCTTACATATCTACCCACACAGACAGGCAACATAAAACATTTAAATTCAAAATAAAATTACTTCTTTTCCTTTCATAATTAATGTTTTAATAGTGATAGCAAGTGTATTTGCTTCTTTTTAGATTAGGTTTTACTAAGTGTTGCCATAGTCAACATCTTTAGATTTTTTCCCATCCTATTTAATCTGACCTCTTTCAATTTTACCAACTTTAATTAGACTGTAGTGACAGAAACTGTGGTATATACAGAGAGAAATGTGGGGTGAGAATGGCACCCTGGTTGGGTTATTTGCACCAGATCTTCATATGTTATTCTAAGAAAAGCTGGAAGTGGTGACAAGGAAAAGATTAATTAGATGTAGTGGAAATAAACCTTAAATAAATTCCCACATGAGAATATGTCATGATCTTATAAAGCTAACTTTTGTTTCTATGTAGAAATTAAGATCCTTGAAAAAGTAGTTTCCACAAAATAGGAACTATGATATAAAAAACCTTTATTTCACACATGGGTAGAGGTTTAGTAACATGATTTCAAGCTGGTAAAAGGAGTGTTAAATACTTTATCCTTTGCTTATGAAGTATTTCTATTTTGTCCAAGTAATCCCCACATGCAAAGAAATAAAATCAGTTTTATTCTATACTTAAGTTAAATTAAAGTTGAATTTGAATGGTACAGGCAGTAAGTGTTAAAAACATGAAATACAGCAAGTAAAAAAAGCACAGATAGCCAAGAAAGCAGATGGAATCAGTCAAGATTTAGAAAGTGTTTCTGATCTGATGCATAAATAGATATGAGCTGGCTTAAAAGTAACAGATGGAACAAGTTTGTTTGCCAGACTCTAGTGCTGAAAAACGCATGTTAGGAGGAAACTAAAACTCTTGGAATGGCCTTTTTAAACACTGGATCTGTATCTAAAATCTTTTTTTTTCAAAGAACCGAATATATGAATGCCTCGTTTGACAAGTTTGTGTAAGATTGCTTCAAAATCAAAGCTGAGAAACTTGTTTAGCTAAGGGTGTAAGACGTCATTTCTAGAAAGAAAAAAAAAAAAACTTATCAAAGTAACAAAATTCCAGTTTAAAGTCAGGGGTTTTCTGAGCTCTGGTAAAACCTGTTTCATGTGTCACCTGTTGCTGACGTTTATGGACAATAAGCCAAGGAGGATACTAAAGAATTATAGAAGGATATGCAGGTGAAGGTAGATGATTTCCAACGATAAGAATATTTAAATATTTTCAAAAACTGTCAATTGGCAATGTTAAAATTCTAAAGAAGAATATGAAGTGATGACTCTTTTGATACCAAAAACATTCAGGAAGGCCTCAATGTACAAATAATTAGGCAGGTGAATAATTACCAGTCATTGCTAGGCTAGCCTTATAAAGTAGCCTGTTACAATAGGTTAAAGAGCCTCAAAATGGCCACAATAGTCAACATTACATTTAAAGATGAGCCAACAAGGCCTTTAATATTTTGACTCCATTGTTTCAAATGTGTTTGCTACCAAGGCAGACAACATTGCATTTACAATATGGCAAATTGATTAAACCTTCTATTCATAGTCTCTATGCATTATCTGTTTTTACTCCCAGAGAGTTCCAAGTGGCAGATCTGCAGCAAAAGTGCATATTTTGGCCAACCCTTGCAACAGAGGAAGTCTGAGTACTCAGAGAGAACACATGCATTACTCAGAGGAGATCAGGCTAATGGGAGCCTTTTCAACACTGAGCCTTCTTGCTGCAAGACAGCAGCGCTTACACCTGTATAAGTGGCTCTGTTGAAATTCATGGGCTGCGTCCTCCAAAGGCCAGATTTGAAGGTCATAGCGTGGCGCCGAGGTTTGGTTGGATTCCAAGACTCTTCGATATGCATCCTACAAATGTGTCCTTCCTTTTGCCTGATTTGAAGGATGGGTCCGATGTCTCCTCTCCATCCTTGGTTATCTCAGGATTCATTGCGAGACCAAGCAAGCGATCTGCTCCGTGATCGGAGGAAATGGTACTTGGTTCAGAACAGTGGTGAATATTGGAAGTTCAGTTTAATATAATACAAGTATGAATGGTTTCGTGAATAGATAATTCTGAAATGAATGAAAATAGCTGTTTCAATGGTTATTGAGTCAGATATATGGCGGGTAATGTTTGGTTTATCTAAAGTGTTTTATCTTTTACTGTCTAAATGGGTGTAGCTGTAATTTAAGGACAGATTCTAATGAATCTGCAGAGTGGGGATTATAAATCTGATAGGATTAAAAAATTTTTTATTGCTATTTTGCGCAATTTGCTCAACTAAGTGTTTTCTGTTGCTATTTTGCAGATTTATTTTTTTTATATATATTGTTTAGATTGACTTATATATTTTCAACCCTTTCGTAGAACAGAATAGAATAGAAAATGTCTTTATTTTTCCCACAATGGGGAAATTTACAGCAGCAAAAAGATTATTGAAAAAAATTGTCACACAAATGTGTACCTTAGAAAAATGTATAACAATAACATAATAGTGAAGAGTTAAAATATAAAATATAAAATTCTGTGCTGTAAAGTGTTTTAACAATGTAAAACTGTGAGAACCTGGAGAATAAATAACCAATATGCAGCTATCGACATTTTTACAGTAATGGATATTTGAAAATAGCAGCAACATCAGAGATGTGCAGAATGACAGCAGCATGTTATTTAACTGACTAAGGTTTATATCATTACATTTGCTTTCATTTTTTCCTGCTCCTGGTGGTTGGCACCGTTATTCCACTCATGACTGTAGTCTTTGTTAACTTTAAAATAAAAAAAAAATAAAAAAAGAAACAGTTTTGAAAAGTTTTCATTCTTTTCCTGCTTTGTGTGTAAACCGTCACGGTTGCTAAGCGACACAGCATTCCACATTACAGCGTTGTGAATTCCTACCTGTTTGAATTCACACCCAAAACTCTTCCGGTCTCCTTATTTTCAAGGACTTCGAAGGATCCAGTCCAGGTAGACCGCGCCCGTGGAAGACACAGGCTATGTGTAGTCCATCAGCCTCTGCCTCTAGGATTTACCCTGACATTTCAGAGGGGTCTGATTAGACCACTTGAGGTAGATTTCAAAAATGCAGTTTTTAATTGACAGTGATTTTGACCATTTTAGTAAACAAGGAGACGTCTTCAATACCACAAAAGGTTTTAAGCTGTAACTGATGTTAAATAGAAGAACAGCCTGCATTTAAACTTTTGATGGTTTCTGTTTCTTGTGAT